TAGCCATAAGACAACAGTCTTTTGGACAACAGGACTCCTGTCATAATTTTGTAATGATTGATATAGCAACTCACAGGAACACAGTCTAACCTCCGCTTCAGACAGATATCATAGAAGACAGTTCCTCTCCCTAAATGCATGCAGTATAGAAGACAGAAAGCAGATAGAAAGCAGACAAATGAGGCTGGGAAATTCGGAGTATAGAGTAAGAAAAAAGAAATAATCTTATTGTATCATAAAATGAAAATGTCTCCACTTATCTAAACAATGTCAGATGAAAGAATTGTATCGTGGCAAATGACACAGCTTACAAATAGATCAATTGCAATAGTGTATATGGAGCCTAACAATGATTATGTATATGAAATGTAACTCAACAGTTCAGAGATCAGTAACAAATAGGTCATAATTCAGTTATAAATCTAACAAATCGTAAGTCTGATAAGTCTACACATCCATCCATTTCATCATGGGGTTAAAAATTACTTGCCATTAATTGCACTTACTTTGTAGGTACTTTTTTTTTTATTATTTCTGCATTATTTAGGTGCGTCATATTGTGATGGTAAATACAGGAAACAAAAGGCCTTTGCTTTCTCTTGAAAGGACCAAGTGGGCAGGCTTGTTACTTACTGTGTTAAAATACAGACTTGGCTTTATTTAGCAGAGTTCATGAATCAACACATATGGAATCCCTTGTGTACATGCAGTATATATGTTAATCTATACATACAGCATACATACAAGCATTCTTCACAGCTCAGAGATCAAGAATTCATTTTATCTTCTCTGAGTTGTGGTGCTCAAATATATATCTAACTAATCTCATTGAAAGAAAGATCTGACTGGTAGGGGCAGAAAGCTGGATGAGAACCACAGATCTGTAGGCAGGGAAAATCACCACTTCGTGCAATTTAACAGCAAAATGCCTGTTTTACTGTAGCCAAGCGTCCTTGCAGAGTCAGCACAAGCAGATAGGCAGCAAAAACTAGCGTATGGTGGCAGATTGGAAAAGGGAGCCCAGCAGAAGTGAAAGCTTGTCTGGGCATGGACCAAGGGCTCTGGATTCAGGCAATCTGAGGCAAGCTAGTGCTCCGCTTATCAATGCTCCCATAGTAATCAGAAGTGCTGGGGCAAAAAATGCCATGCTGGCCCTACAATCAGCTTCTCTTCCAGGTTTTGCATCATTACTTTCCTGTGAGATTTCTGGAAGTTCTGTGGATCTCCTGTTTCTACCAAAATCCCTGCTTACTTTAAGGGGGTCATTGTGGCACCTCAAATCCCTTTAAGTTTGATGGCTTTAGGTTCCTGAGAGAAAAGATACCACATGTAGTTTAGGTATAAAGGGGAAGAGAAAGTGGAAGGGGAAGCGGAAGGAGAAAAAAGAAAGGGGAAATGGACACGAGCAAAAGAAAGGAACCTGGCTATAAATCACGCAGCATTTGTAGACAGTGATAACATGGGATATTAAAAAGTCATTAAATTCATGATCTCAAACTTAAAACTTTAAATAAAATTAAATCTTCTGATTTGAACGAGCCACAAGCCAGGAAATTCAGGCTTAAGAATGGGATCCTTTTAAAGTCATTTTATTCTAGCTTGGTTTATCAGTATACTTACCAGGAGCAAATGTGCCCTCTGCAAATTACACACGTCATGAAATCTCAAGCAGTCCTGCCAAGACCTGGTGATAAGTTGCTATAACAGCAGCCTGGGGTTTGAGAAATGCACTTTCCTTCACATTCATGGCAACAGGTGACCTAGTGGTAATGACATCATTAACACATTTCACCTTTTTAAGCTCTCCCGCTGGTGTTTTACTTAGACTAGTTTATGGAGGAATCATTTCATTTTGGCGTTTCAAGTCCCTTGTGTTCTTAGTGGTATTTTTAAGAAAATAAACAGAAAAGTGGAAGGAGACCATCCTCTGGAATATGTGATTTGCAAGGAAATCATCTGATTCCATCAGCAGACTCTGTCTTGTATGAAAAAGAACTCGGGAAATTTTATAGCAGATCAGATAAGACTGCGATCAATCTAATTCAGTTTTCCCTTCAGGAATCCACAATATCGGCTTTTTAATAAGCAGTTATTAGGTACTCGCCACATTTCTAACAGATTCTCCAGACAGATATGTTTGCATTTGTTATGCAAATGTAGCTATGTATATTAAAAAATGGAATAGTGTCTCAATTCGATATTTCACTGAGTCCTTATGGACTCTTCACTTTAGATACGCAGGCAGAAGGATCTTTTGTTACCATTGTTGCTCTGTCTCTGCGTCCTTCTCTATGTACCCTTCTGGGTGTCGATTCTTAAGAAAATATTACTAAATGAATTGTTTACCTCTTCTTTTCAAAAGCTATCTTTCCTACACCTCTGAATTCTTTTTACAGTGTAATTACAAAGGAATCAAAAACCACTATCTTCTATTTAACAATTTTAACTTAGTAACATCCTACAACTGAGATTTTTGTTCACAAAAACGTTTGTCCTTGACAACTTGCTCCCTACAGTAACAATATGAAAACAAACCTATTAACTCCTGAAAGTTCTTTAAAAGAAGAAAAAAAAGAGACAAACCCAAAGTACTAGTAGTACAGCATAAAGCAGAAAACAGTACAGTATATGGGAGCATTTCTGAACCATATGGGGCTCGATTCTGTTTCCATTGACAGCAGTTGGATGTTTATCACTGAATTCAAAAGGACCAGGCCAAGACTGCCACACTGAAAAAGAGGCTTTCAGGTGGGATTTGTGTTGAATATCCAAACAAATCTAAGTATCCGACACCTTTATTATACTCTAAATGCTTGGATACCACATTACAAGACAGAACTGGGTTGTCTCGAGAAAAGCAATTGCTGTCTTCAACTACCTAGTGGGAGGTTATAGAGAAGGTGGGGGTCAGACTTCCAGCAGGTTAAACACAAAAAGACAGCAGGCAATGGACAGTGGTTGCAACAAGGAAAATTCCAAATAGATAGTAGGAAAATTTGTGTCAGTCATGCTAGTCAAAAATTGAAATGTGTTGCCCAGAGAGGCTGTGGAATCTCCATCCTTGAAGACATTCAGACCTTGGCTGTGTATGACCCTGAGCAACCTGATCTGACAGAATTTGGTCCTGCTCTGAGTGGAGAATTCGGACCAGATGTTCAAGGGAAGGGAAAGGGAAAGGGGAAGAGGAAGGGAATCTCTGTTCCATTTTGCATGTTCAATTCTTAGTACGTATCTAGACTGTAAAGAGACAGTGACAGGTCATTCTGTGATTTATTTGTTCAGAATATGATTTGCATCTGCTACGAAAGTATTTGGCCAGTATACACATGTTAACTTTTTTTTTTTTTTTTTTTTTTTTTTTTTAAAATGTTATGCTAAGTCTAACTGTAAACTCATGTTAAGAAGCCCTTGTTGGAAGTCAAGCAGGCACAGGTCAGAAAGACAACACAATGGGTGTTTGAAAAGCTCTCCTCCTCCTTCAAGAAGACTCAAGTGACTTCTACCTTGTCTGAAAAGAGTACAACAGCAGTTCAACAAAAATTGCTAATAAAATAGGGTTTTAGAAGTTTTTTTGTTGTAGTAAATAAAATTGAATGTACCCTGTGATTGTCCACACCAGTTGTCTCTGTCTTGTCTTTTACTGTTTTTTCACTGTACTGGGAAAGTGGAAGAAGCATGATCAAGTCCACATAAAAGGAATGGAAACAAGTATTCTATTTATGGAATGATTGTGGTCCTCAAGTATGAATTTAGAAGATACTATGTCTATTCAGGCCAAATCTTCAAATGGCATAAACTCGTATAGGCCTAGCTGAATCCAAATGGCATTGTGGCTGTTGAGGACCTGGATTTACTGCACTGAAACATTAGTAAGTACAATTCCCAATGTTCTTGGTACAAAAGCTGGCTGGGGCCCCAAGAACGCACAGGTTATGGGTACACCAACAAGCTGCCGTAGGGTATGGACATATGGTACATCCGTTACTGTTGTGATTTTGCCCCATACTGCTCTTACTGTTATCTCATGGCAAATATGAAATGTTCTGTACCTCCATCACCAAGCAAGCTACTTCCTTTGTGACTAAAGTAGGGGCAGATGTCCCAGACTAGCTCCTTCCAAGTTGATCCTTAAACTGCTTACTGGACATTTCGTCATTAATCCAGACCTTATTCTTCAGATTCAGTGTGGGGAAAGACAGTGTCAGAAATACCTGTACAGACTGGAAAATAAAACAACTCTTTGGTCTCAAGGAGCTTACCAAAATGACCAAACATATTTCAGACTTACATGTCTTGCTCTTGTCACACCAAATGCGATCACACCTCTTGACACAACCATCTGCCAAGTTTCATTGTTCATTTGACACACACTTCATAGATCTGTACCTTCCCTGGGGTTTTTAATTTTACTAATTTAACACAAGTAGTAGCAAACAGGATATTCAGCTACAAACAAGAACATTAATTCTCCTATGGGATGATGGACTGCTTTAAGTATAAGTCTTTCGTAATGCAAGTAAGAACAGCAGTCAAGTAAGATCTTTCTTTACTACAAATATTTCATTTTCTGTGCTGTAGCCAGTGTACCTCCATCATTTACTTGTCCACCTGTCTACCACACTGAGGCCAGTCCCTTAGTAGAAGCGTGCTAGCCATGTTTCCAGTCCCTCACAATTCTCTGCGTACAGTGGATATTCCAGAAGTCTTCACAAGACACAACAGTCTTTCCATTAACTGTGGTACATTCAGTCCCCTGGGATGATCCTGACATCACAAGAGATATCTGAAGTATGAAAGAATAGGAAAATTGTTCTTACTACAATTACTTTTAAACCAGAAATGGAAATGTCCTACCTAGCTGACTTTTTGTAGTGCATCACCTATAGTTTGAGAGTTTTAAGTGCCCAGGATATGAGGACCATGTTTTTCTATTTCATGAACATCACAAAGTTAAAGTTTTTATTCAGAAGAACTTCATTTAAAAGAAAAATAGTAAATGGCACATCATGTAATTGCTATTTATTTTCATAAACATGAGGTATTTCAAAGTGCTATAAGACGCAGCACTAAATGTACATCGTTGGAAGAAATTAAACACAGAACTTTGCAGTTACCCAGTTCTATGCACCAAACATTAACAAATACATTAACTGGAAGAAACAGGCTAGGAAAAGGCATATATAGTAAATTTCTTTACAAAAGTTTCTTAGTTCAAAAAAGTGATAAAGTAATATCTACTCAAAACTTTCACAACTCATTTTCATACGAAAATATAAGTATCAAATTTAGTTATGTATCAGCATCATACTAAAGTATACAGGCAATGTAAGAATTAGTACAGTACATAACAGAGATTAACAATATATTTGTATACAAAAACATGCTCCTCAAACATTGAGGTATTACAGTACTTAGGTATGAACTTCCAGTCTAATACCGGTAGCAAAAGCCACCTCTCATAACCCAAGACATGTACAAAAGGCAAGTGTGTAGATGGTATTTACAGAAAATTCCCACAGGGGTACAAAATGTCAACCCCTAAAGTAACATCTGTTAGAACATAAGCACCATAAAACTTAGGAATGAACATTTCAAAACTCAACTAGATGTCATCAGCAGCTCCAAATGCTCACAACAATTAAAAAAAAAAAAATCCCCACCATCTACAGTTCTTAAGAATTAAAACAAAGGCAGTCCATTTTGTTTGGTAGTCTTGCAATAAACTCCTTGCAAGAACATCCATTTGCTCCGTACCCGGAAAATATAGTTTGTCAATTACTTCAGGGACTGGATTGAAAGTAAAACCAACATTCTTAACGTCAAAAAACACAATTTTTTTTTTAAAGAATCAAAAATGTGCAAAGTGGCAATGACTGTCCTGGTCAGCCAAAACAAAACGAAACAAAAGTTTAGCAAGTCCGCTTGTATTCTATTTTCTTTAGCAATTGTTGTTGTCTGGCTTGCAATTTTTCCTTTTCTAGCAATAACTTCTGCTCCTCTGCCTGAAGGGAATGAACATATTCAGTGGCTTTTTTCAAGATCACAACTTTTGCAGCTTTCTCATTTTTAACCAGTTCTGGAACATGGTCCCTTAATGTGAGGAAACTTGACCGTAGATCATTACGCCGTTGACGCTCCAGGATATTATGGTTGCGTCGACGTTCACTATCTTCTGAATCCGAGTTTCGAGGACTTGCACTCTTAGACTTTGGTTGGATCGTGGGTTTTACTGGACGGGGCACCTCAGTTTTTAACTTCTTCTGCGGTGGAGCATCTTCACTCTCCATATATGGAGAAGGAGCGGCATAATTATGCTGCTGATGAATTGGTGCGCAACGCTTTAAAATCAGTTCATTCTGCTGTGTCCTGACTGATGGAAAAGTGGTATTTTTAGGACGCACTGTAATAGTAAGGGTGGTAACAGCCTTGTTGGAGGAGGAGCGTCTTTTTTCCACTGTCACAACATCTATTTCTTCTTCTTCATCCTCTTCCTCCTCATCTTCATCATCTTTCCACAACAGAAAATAGAAAATAAAATAGACATTACTCTCTCAGAAAATACTCTGAACAAGTATCAACCCAGATGTATTTATTGACAAAATATATACAGTAAAAGCAGCAATGAAATAACTGATGGCAAAACCTGGGTGTGCCCACCATCTGTAGTCAGATATAGATCTGGGAAAGTATGTAATATACATGAAACGACTGAAGAACAGTGATTTCTGAAAGTGTAATAAGTTTAATGAGGTTTTTTTTTAAAACGCTTCCAATTTTCAGTCAAAGCGGGGCTACCACCCACATAATTGCAGCAGTAGAAAAGAGTGTTTAGACAGAACGTATGTATTTTGAATGGAATCGTACAGCTGCGGTACAAAAGGCATGCACAGTGCCACAACACAGCCCTTGCTTGGTAGAAAAGCAGTCGGAAAATGAAACAATCACTGGGTTTGCTCTGAGGCAGAAGGTGAAGCTGCTCCAGCCGCGGACCCTTTAAGCCGGCGCTTGGTGCACTGCCAAGAAGACAGCTGTTGGAAGTGCTTCCTCACCCAAAGCTGTCAAACCAGACATTAAAGGGACAGCAGGCTTTGAAACCCGGGATGGATCACCAAGTTTATGGCGATGGTCATACGGACCAGCTCATCTACACACACTAAATCACGTCTCAGCCCAAATGGGCTTCCCTGCAGGAACGTACAGGAGGCGTTTCCGAGCATTTTAGGTTCTGCCAGGGCAAGCGCAAGTGCTGCTCTGAGGGGTCACTAGCCTGCTCCAGCCTTCCCAAATCACGCCTAAGGGCACACACGGTCATCTCCCATGAACCCCATCCCCAGGGCGACAGTGGCAG